TCCGATGATCCGATGGTCCGATGCTCCGACGTTGATGGGTGGGCGGCCGGGTGATCATGAGTGGGCTTTCCCCTTCAAAACCGGACTTGTGGGGGTCTTTTTTTGTAGGCCAATCCAGTGGAAAATGCCACTGGGAAGTCTGAAGAGTTGCCTGTGTGCACTTTGGGGCCTGCTGACGCCGCTGCAGGGTACTGCTGCCAAATGTGTGGACACGCGCGCTTTGTAAGTTGGGCGCTGGTGCCACTGCAGGGTGCCGCTGCCAAACGCCTCACTGTTTGGAACTTGGGCGCTGGTGCCGCTGCAGCACAGACCTTAAGTTGACGAAGTCTCAAGAGTGAAGGCCGTTAATGCGGCGGCTCGGCTTCTAGCGTAGGGAACGCTTCTGCTCCTCGCAACTGCCAACTAGGCGGCGGCCTAGACCACTGCTGGTCACGAGCGCTGCTTTTCTCTTTCTCTCGTCTCCTCACCTCCCTCCTCGTCCTCCATTCATCCTGTTCAGGATTGCGGCAACAATGCATGGCAAATTGATTGAACTTGAGAAGCATCAGTTCCGATTTAAAAGATCAAACCTTGAGAGGACCTGTCAGGTCAGTCAGTCAGTCAGTCAGTCGGTCCAGCTGATCCTCCTCGACTCCTCCTCCTATTCTCGTTAAATTTTATTTTATTCTGTAATTCTCCGTCAGTGTGAGGAGTCAGGAGTCCGTCAGTCACCGTCGTCAAAAGACCCAGGCCCTGGTTTAATCACAAGTGGCACCACTGCCACTACCCAACACGTAGCAAATCCGGCGCCAGTCTGGCACTTCTGCCCCAGCCACCCCAATCTGCCACCACACTTTGGCATGAATCTGGCACCGGCACCAGTCCGGCACCAGTCCGGCACCAGTCGGGAACCAGTCGGGAACCAGTCGGGAACCAGTCGGGAACCAGTCCGGAACCAGTGCGGGAGTACTGATTTAGTAGTAATTTAGTCTACGGGTAGTCTTCCCGGTCTGGTTCCCGACTGGTTCCCGACTGGTTCCCGACTGGTGCCCGACTGGTGCCGGACTGGTGTTGGAGCAGTGCCAAATTTGTGATCACAGACATCCGGTCTTGACCCCCCGATGGCGTGCCAAGGAGCTTGCTCGCCTACATCGCATGACAACGCGTAGCGCGTGGCATTGGAAAAACTGGGCGGGCAGCGGCTCTCCATTTCCCTTGCAAAATGATAAAGTAGTGCTTCAATCCGATCCTGGACCAAAGGCTGGTGGAAGCAAATTATCCAAACTACGGCAAGCTAAAGCAACACTGTTTTTGCAGCCTAGAGTGCCAGATTTAATTCACAGCGACGCTGTTCAGAAAAATTGCCTACAAATCAGTAAGCTGCCAGGGCTCCAAAGCACTCGCGGCGTGGGGGAGTTCTTCATCGATCATTATGAAATATAGCCTGGTCCTGGTCTGAGGCACTCCATAGTGCTTGGACCTTGAAACACAACCCACTGGGAATACACATGCGTGCACCACGATCTGAACTGACTTTGGTTTGGCGAGATTACGAGATTCCACTCAACCAACTGCAGGTGAGCAGCTGTAAGCGGTAAACCCTGATGACATAGCCCGGAATTAAGGCCAGCCCCACATCCTCTTCTGGTCCATTCTGATATGCCGGTGGCAATCGTCCACGCAGAAGGAAATCTAGTGGTGTCTGGCAGTGTCGATACTGTCATCGACGCATCGACAATCGATTTACAGTACTGTATTTGCCTTGAAGGCAGGCCGCGCGATGCCAAAATTACATACGGTTTTCGCTGCGCTCGACTCCGACTCAACCTGTCTGTCTTCCGAAGGCGCAAAACCTGGCCGAAAGTAGATCAGCGTTCTTCTGCCAAAACAAACGCTCACTGCTCAGAACTACTGAAGGAGACTAAAACAAATTGTGTTCAGACTGATCTTGCCAGGGGGATGCACCATACATGTTGCAATGAATTCCTTGCTAGACCCCTCCTGATGGATTTTGGTGGGATGGGACTGCTCTATTAGATAAGTAAGTAAAGTAATAAATAGTTAAACTATACAGATTACAAAAGAATCTGAAACCAATAATATGTAATAATAATATCAGTGAGTCAGTCAGTGACAAGGTTCAAGCGTTCCCATCCCGCCGGAGAACTCTCAAAGCTTCTGAAACTGCCCTTTGCTCTTCCGGGTCAGTGGTGCTATGCTGCATGCGTTGCAACTGCGCAACGGACTCGACACGCTGCTGCTCATTCATTTGCACCA